CTCGAGAGCTCCTGGTTCGGGTCTCACGGCCAGCTGTGGATCTGGAGCGCTTCGGGTCGTCTCTGAGAAAGATTGTCCTGTTTCTGCCGTCACACCTGAGGAACAGAGTCACCGTCACTGAACACACACCATCAAACACTGAGCTTTTAACTGATCTTTTTTTTTGAGCTTTTAACAATAATCACCATCTAAAGTTGATCTAAATTCATACAAGTGTTCATGAAGTTTGCAATCTATATTTCACTTCTATTACCAGTTCATTTGTAAATATCACAAAAGCACGTTCTCAAGTTTTCATGTTGCCTGGAGAAATCCATAATTTTCCAGTCGTTTCATCTAATTAATAGCCGCTACTTTTTCCATTGGGAAACTTGATTGATATAAAAGAATAAGCCCTTTATATCTGAAATCAAAGTACTTGATAAACCCAAACATGTGTGACCGTTCAAATCAGTGGTTTCATGACATGAAAGTCCAAAAACTAGGTCTGTTTGTCACAGTGTTTTTTTTCTTTGGGTGTGATGATAATCCACAACTTTCAGACCAACAGTGATATTCATCTGAGGTCTTCACGACACAATGCTCAAATGAAACAAAGTCCAGTGAATCACAGGCATTATGGGATTGAAAAGAGCAGAATAAAGAGAAGAGCCGTGAAGGCCCGATACTGCGACTTCATTTCAAAGGCGTATTGAACCGAGTGATTTGTTTACGAGAGAATGCAATGAACCGTGTCCACAGGAGACGAGCGTCCATATGATGTCATGTGATATTAGCTTTGCCTTATTAAATCATAGACAAAAGCAAACAGACTCAAAAAAAGGTACCAGCACAGCTTACAAAGCATCGCTCTGGCATCACTGACCTTTCCTAGGAGTGGACGCTTCTATCGGCATAATAGGCCTGAACACACACACACACACACACACACACACACACACACACAGATGCCACAGCCTGTTACGATTTCTCAGAAGTTGCTTCATCTCGTGTGAAAGACTAATGAGGCTTTACAGCAATACAGCAGTTTCTCTTTCAGCTCGCAGTCGTTGCGTCATCATCGGAGGCGCTGTACTTCCCGCTCAATATAGACCACATTACATTTGAGTTTCATGTCAGATAGATTTCACATACTTTTATACAGACAAGACTTGAAAAAAAGTGATTAAGCTTCAAACACACAATCATGTGAATACAACAATACACTCACCGGCCACTTTATTAGGTACACCTGTCCAACTGCTCGTTAACACTTAATTTCTAAGCAGCCAATCACATGGCGGCAACTCAGTGCATTTAGGCATGTAGACATGGTCAAGACAATCTCCTGCAGTTCAAACCGAGCATCAGTATGGGGAAGAAAGGTGATTTGAGTGACTTTGAACGTGGCATGATTGTTGGTGCCAGAAGGGCTGGTCTGAGTATTTCAGAAACTGCTAATCTACTGGGATTTTCACGCACAACCATCTCTAGGGTTTACAGAGAATGGTCCGAAAAAGAAAAAACATCCAGTGAGCGGCAGTTCTGTGGGCGGAAATGCCTTGTTGATGCCAGAGGTCAGAGGAGAATGGCCAGACTGGTTCGAGCTGATAGAAGGGCAACAGTGACTGAAATAACCACTCGTTACAACCGAGGTATGCAGCAAAGCATTTGTGAAGCCACAACACGCACAACCTTGAGGCGGATGGGCTACAACAGCAGAAGACTCCACCGGGTACCACTCATCTCCACTACAAATAGGAAAAAGAGGCTACAATTTGCAAGAGCTCACCAAAATTGAACAGTTGAAGACTGGAAAAATGTTGCCTGGTCTGATGAGTCTCGATTTCTGTTGAGACATTCAGATGTTAGAGTCAGAATTTGGCGTAAACAGAATGAGAACATGGAACCATCATGCCTTGTTACCACTGTGCAGGCTGGTGGTGGTGGTGTAATGGTGTGGGGGATGTTTTCCTGGCACACTTTAGGCCCCTTAGTGCCAATTGGGCATCGTTTAAATGCCACGGCCTACCTGAGCATTGTTTCTGACCATGTCCATCCCTTTATGGCCACCATGTACCCATCCTCTGATGGCTACTTCCACCATGTCACAAAGCTCTAATCATTTCAAATTGGTTTCTTGAACATGACAATGAGTTCACTGTACTAAAATGGCCTCCACAGTCACCAGATCTCAACCCAATAGAGCATCTTTGGGATGTGGTGGAACGGGAGATTCGCATCATGGATGTGCAGCCGACAAATCTGCGGCAACTGTGTGATGCCATCATGTCAATATGGACCAAACTCCCTGAGGAATGCTTCCAGCACCTTGTTGAATCTATGCCACGAAGAATTGAGGCAGTTCTGAAGGCAAAAGGGGGTCCAACCCGTTACTAGCATGGGGTACCTAATAAAGTGGCCGGTGAGTGTATAACATAATATGCACTTTTATTTTTTTATTTTTTTTATTATATTATTTTTATATTATATTAAATTACATAATTAAAATAAAATGGATTTAAATGATGTAATTGTAATAAAATTAAATAAATAAAATTATTATAATACAATTATTTGAATTATATTATTATAATACCGGTACGTAAATATTTTTTTTATGAATTTTTAATAAATTAATGCATTTATCCAAACAAACTTAAATGCATTTAAAACCAATTACATTTTCAATGCATTTAACCAAATAAATGCGATAACAAATTAATTTAAATGCATTTAACCAAATAAACTTCTATGAATTTAAATAAATAAAATGTAAATGCATTTGAACAAATCAATTTAAATGCATTCAAACAAAAAATATTTTCAATCCATTTAACCAAATAAATGGAAATGCATTTAAACATAAATGGTTTAATAATTAAATAAAGGCAAATTGATAAAGGCAAATACATATAAATAAATAGCTCACGTGACTGGCTCATATCCAAGGATTGCAGCATGCAGGTTGTGTATTAATCATATTAATATTAAGCCAATCATACTAATGGCAATGCTAATGTCTCTGCAGGAGTTACAGACGTCTCTGGTTTATTCTGTTCCAGCAAACGCTGCAGAAACACTGTTATCACCACAGCACCTCTAACAGCAGCAGCACACACCATAAATCACCACAGGTGATTAAATCCAGCGGCAGATCTAATGAAAATGGACTTGTGTTGACGTGAGCGAGCGTTGACTGTCCATCAGGTGGCTGGAGTCAGAAGACCAGCGCTGGCTAAAGGCCTTCAGTTACAGTACGACTGATCATAGGCTTCAGCTCCAGGCTTCCTTCTGTACTGACTCACGACACGATGTAACGCGGAATAATGAGTGTGAACGCATGATTAATCCGTCTAATGGGTCATAATCTAATAGAGTTCGGGAAACTGATTCAGACCACAGGCGTCATGAACTCAATCTCTCTTATCCTGATGAAAAGGCTCTTATGTTTCACACAACATTCGTCTGAGAGGAAAAGCAACAGCATTTCAGATTTGATCAGACCTTTTTTGACTGTTCGCAACAGATTTTACTTCTGTAAAGATTGAATAAAAAAACAAATCATGCATTCACACACATGCACTCACACACATCCACTATCATGCACTCACACACATCCACTATCATGCACTCACACACATACACTATCATGCACTCACACACATCCACTATCATGCATTCACACACATGCACTATCATGCACTCACACACATGCACTATCATGCATTCACACACATGCACTATCATGCACTCACACACATGCACTATCATGCACTCACACACATGCACTATCATGCACTCACACACATGCACTATCATGCATTCACACACATCCACTATCATGCATTCACACACATCCACTATCATGCACTCACACACATGCACCATCATGCACTCACACACATGCACTATCATGCACTCACACACATGCACTATCATGCACTCACACACATGCACTATCATGCACTCACACACATGCACTATCATGCACTCACACACATGCACCATCATGCACTCACACACATGCACTATCATACACTCACACACATGCACTATCATGCACTCACACACATGCACTATCATGCACTCACACACATGCACTATCATGCATTCACACACATGCACTATCATGCACTCACACACATGCACTATCATGCATTCACACACATGCACTGCTCAACTGTCATTTCCCAGAGTTTCCCAAAGTTTGAGTCATTCACTGAAATGAGCATGCATAAATATACTGGAAGCTTTACTGTGTTTCAGCAGTGCACGTGTGTAAATGCATAGCATACATATATATATACACTCACCAAGACTGTATTTATTTAATCAAAAATATCCTAAATATTTTTTGCAATCTAAAATAGCTGTTTTCTATGCAAATATATTACCCAAGCAAAGGGATGCAGCCAATTTGAGTGTCTCGTCTCCCAATTAACAAAAGATCAGAATAATGTGTAAACCCTTCAGATTTACGGGAATCCACCAAAGTCGCTCTCCATGTAAAGTCTAACGTCTATTAAAGAAAGCGACGACCCCGGGTCATTAATGACTGTTTGTGTGAAGCAGAAAGTCCTCATCATCCAGACAGAGATTAAAGTCTCATCTGTGTGTTTGATTCTGGTAATGAAGCACTGAAGAGCGACTGGTGTCTGAACGACCCTCTCCATCACATCATATTAACATGATCAGACTGAAGTCTGTCTGAATCTCGGCCCTCACACACACTCGAAAGCAAAAGACATCATTAGCGGAGTAAAGCGAGCTTCCTCTGTACGATCAGATCGATGCGGGACGTCAGAGAGACGGAGACGTGGAGGCTCAGCTGAAGGACACACACTTATTCACATATTCTGGCCGGTCAGTGAAGCTTCGCTCGGTTCCTTCCAGTAACTGTCTGGGTGCCAAATATAACAATTCTGGCAGATTTACCTAAATACATTTTTAATAAAACATTAAAATGTCTCATTTATCATATATTACATATTATATCATTTATCATATATTATAGTATGTATATTATATTAGTATGCATATATAGTATATTATAGTATGCATATAGTGTATATTATAATGTATTTTTCATGCATTAGTACTTATAAATAAATAAAAATTATAAAAATAAATAAAAGAAAATAATAAAAGAAAAAAAACTATTACCTATAAATATAAATCCTAAATCTATTTCTATACAAAATATATTTAAGCAAATGCAAATGAGTAAAATCTCATATTGATTTATATTTAACATTTAAATTAATTACGTTTACATTTAATACATTAATAGTATAATTTATACATTAAAATACATTAAAATACAGCATTATCTTATAATGTGAATCTGGTACATCATCCTTCAACTAGCAGATATAAAATAACATAAAATAATTAAAAATAAACTATTACTCTTAAATCTATTTTTGTTCAAATGTAAATATTACATCTAACTTTAAATCAAAATGTTAAATCAAAAAATCTTGAATGTTAATTAAAAAAATGTGAATGTTAATTACATTTAATGATAATGACTTGTATATTACTATAATTAATTAATTAATATATTCATATATTATTTAAAATACATAAAAATGAGACATTTAAACTGGCATTATCTTATAAAATGTAAATCTGGCAAATCACCCATCCACTAGTAGATCTAGTGATGACATGTAAACTGAGGTTAATAGTTGGTCTCTGTGGAGGCTGTGGATTGACCAATCAGACGACAGGACCAGAATGATCTGTGTTATGACATAACTATAATAAGCATAAAGTGTGTTTACCGTGCAGAGCTCTGTAAGCGCAGCCCAGACAGGCCGAGTTCGGCACGTCGATGGTGTAAACCGGGGCGTTGAAGACATCCGACAGAACCTGTAGAGTTGAGATATGAACATTACAAGTCATAATGATCAGATGCATCATAATGAGGATATTACGCTATAACTACAGACTCATAATCATGTGATCAGTGTTGCAGTGATAACAACAGCGTCCTAAAATAATACCTGTAAAATGTCCTTGTTAGATGACGCTCCGCCTGTTGCCAGCACTCGAGTGCCCTGAACTACAGGAGAGAGAGAGAGAGATTTATAGTTATATATCATCATAAACTACACTTACTGCCTGTGACAATAGCTGGATTAACAGACAGATCATAACAGAAGAGCTGTGAGCTGTGTGTGTGTGTGTGTGTGTGAAGCATGCCAGGCATCAGTCATGTTAACACTGCCGTCACAGGCTGAATGAGACATAAAACATTATGTTATGCTAATTAAAGCATAATTCAGCCTGCATAAAGCATATAAACAAATGCTATGCAATAAAATGGCACATAAAAAGGAAAATCACTGCAGATCCAAACCATAAAATTATTGCACCTGTAAAATTTGAGTACCATGAGGAACAGATCTGAGATCAACAAACTGCATCTCAACATGAACATGATAATCAGACAGAAAGTGATGGACATATATATATAAATATATATAAAACGACACATGCAGTGGATCTCGGTTTGATTCTTCATAAGCATAAGCAAACAACACTGCAGGCATGCTCTGGTTTGGCTTTTTCCCAGCATTCCTTCCGCATAAAAAGACTGACGGAATGATTAAGATCAGCCTCATTTGCATTCATTAAATATTCATGAGACTCGTTCCTAAGAGCACACGCTCAGACCTACAGGTGCCGCTGAAGACACACACACACACACACACACACACACACACACACACACACACACACACACACGCTGGGTAATCCAGAGTCTATCAGCATCTATTGTGTTACTCCTACACATGAATATAACAACAATCATTAGAAAGAAAGCATGAAAGAAACCCAGGGTATATTTCCATAAAATTTTAAAACCTGCACATCATTACCATAATAATAATAATAATCATAATACATTTTTATTTGGGGATACAAATAACAGTACTACAGTATAGTTTTGTTTTAATTCACTTTTATGCATTAGACCGGTTTAAAACGTTCAAAAAGCATGTGATGATATCTACATCTTCACTGCGGCGTCAGTCTGACTGCATTTTTATCACCTTTGAAAAGTGGATTAAAAACATGTTAATGCTAATTACGGCTTTATTTTCACATTAAGTTTTAAAATGCCTTAAAGGATCCGCGGACACCCTGAAAGCAATAAAGAAAGGCATGAATATTTCTTATGAATATAAGCAAAAATAAATGTAAATCTTACTTATAAAAATATGTAACTAAAATATGCAATAAAGTAGACATAATTTAAACGTGAATGCCTTCCATTTGGATTTATAATTAACATCCTGATCTTTAACATTTACATTCAGCTTTTACATGTAAGATCTACACATTTTTTTAAAGAATACATGTTTTTATACACTACAGATATTCAACAGAATGAATAATTCCAGCCATGTGTGTGTGTGCTGTGTATAATTATTTTGTATACATATTAACACACACACATGCATGTATATATTTAAGAAATATTTGCATGTATATATTTATATAATATATACATATTTCATATATAAATCAAATTTTTCTTAAATATATACATGCATGTGTGTGTTTACTATACACAGCACACACACATTAGTAAACACATACTTTTATTTTGTATGCGATTAATCCCAATTTTAGTGAGATATGCTAATTTACGGTAGTGAGATCTCCATCCATGAGTCAAAGTGAACAGTGAGGGGGTGTGGCCATCTTCATCATCATCTTCATCATCATCAATGCCTTCTCACAGGGATTAATTGCAAAGCACATATATATTCAGGACAGAGAGACTCATACGGACGCACACAGAATGAATCACATGGTTATTTATTGATCAATAATGCAAATGCGCTCTGCATGCATCTCATATCCGGAGCCGGCGCCGTGTTTCTCCATCAACGAGCTTCTGATGTGGTGTTTTCATGCACTGAAACACACCCATGCGTCCACAGTCTCATTGAGATGTTAGTGTTGACTACAGAGCCTGCGTGTGCATTATTAATAGCTATTGACAGACGTGTCTGGTCAAACCCTGGTCAGAACACAGCGGACCTGCGGACGAGAGCGGGTTCACATCACACCATCGCCCCGCGGCAACACCGAATGTCAAAACACCTTCGGCACAAATCGACACACAGCGTTCCTGTCCGATAAAAGACTAACCTTTGAGAAAGCTCCCTCGGCTCTGGGAATATCTGAGAGAACATGCAGTGTGTGGAAGAGATGCTGGGTGCTTAGTTTAACATTTATTTTACTGAAGTAGATTATAATATTATAGTTTAAAGCTAGATGTGTAAAAGGGGAAGGTAAATATAAGTTAGCTTCTTCCTTCTTTTTTTGTTCTATATTTTTTCTTTTCTTTTGAACATGCTGAGATTTTGTTGTTATTATCTTCTTGTTAAAATATGCTCTGTTACTAATGATCATGTTCTGAAGAGGAAAAAGAAAGAAAAGAAAGAAATTATTCATATTCATTCATTCAATGTTTATTTATGCATTTCAAATTTAGATATAGCTGCTATATATTAGAATTAATTCAAGGTGTGCACTTTATATTTTAAGTATTAACTTCTGTATTCTTGAACGAGTAATTGGTAATTTTCCCCTCTTTTTTCTCTCTTGTTTGTTATTTGTAGTCTTTTTTCATCTTATATTGTATTGTTGTAAAAAAAAACTTCACAAACACTTTCCTAATAAGGTTTCATTTGTTAACATTTAGTTAGAAAATAACTAACAATGAACAATACTTCTACAGCATGTATTAATCTTAGTTAATATTAATCTCAACATTTAGTAATATTGTTACTTCTGCTATTATTAAGTACTAACATGAACATTTTTATTCACCAACATTAATTTTTTTTTGTTATTGCTCATTGTTAGTTGAAGTTAACTAGCGAGACATTATTGTAAAGCGTTACCCAAATATTTAACTGAATGCAGAGATAAAAACTGTAAATCCTTTAGAGACTACACTTCAAAACACGAACTGTCTGATGTCCGACAGTCAAACATCAAAACATGATCGTCTACATTTACACATCAATGACGCCTAATGAGTGATCAGAAACTTTGATCTAATATTTATGGTGGAACGCAGAAAAAACATTAAATTCAAAAAATGTTAAAAACATGCATGATGCCATAAAGAGGATTTATTTTATTTATATATAATATACAATATCAATCAAAAGTTTGGGGTTTGTACGTTTTTTTTTTTTTTTTAAATCTCTTCCGCTCACCATCAAAAAATACGGTAACAAATGTGAAATACTATTTCAATGTGAAACAGTGGTTTTCTATGTGAATATATAGGAAAATGTAATTTATTCCAGTGATCAAAGCTGAATTTTCAGCATCGTTACTCAATTTAATGCTTTCAAGTTGTATAAAAGTATGAATTTCTAAAAAAAATAAAAAAAATCTTACTGGCTTTAAACTTTTGAATGGTATAATATACGGCATAATAATGTATAATCATTTTATTTTATATACGTTTAAAAACGATCCCTTTAAAATAACGTCAGTGACACTTGAGACCTAAAAGTGGTACTAATTATATTGATGTGAAAACACACATCTGCATGAACATGAGGGAAAATGACCCATGATGATTGACAGGTAAACTCTGAGCGCTGGTCTTCTTCTAACAGTGAGCCGTGAGCGGGTCAGACCAGAATCAGGGGAGTTTCGTTCAGGCGAGGAGGACATTCCCCGTGCTCAGTGGCTGATGGGAGTTTAATTAAAGCGTGTTTGTTTCTGCAGCTCTTGGCAGCCAGAGTCTCGCTTCATCATATAATCACCCGCGCCGCGCTCGCCGCCGCCGAGGAATGAGAACCGCCGGCACGTCACAAACGGCACATGGGCGTGGAGATGCTCAAATACTGTACACACTCGTTCAGCAGTGAGAAGAGCAAAGAATGAGACGAACCCGAAATGCATGTGTAAACTCTAACAAAAGCTAGTAAAGTTTTTTTTTTACCACGTTGCCATGTGGTTGCTAGGGTGTTGCTATGCAGTTGCTAAGATAATATAGGTGGTTTTAGCACGTTGCCATGTGGTTGCTAGGGTGTTGCTTTGCAGATGCTAAAGTAATATAGGTCGGTTTTAGCACATTGTCGTGTGGTTGCAAGGTTGTTGCTATGCAGTTGCTAAGGTTATATAGGTGAGTTTTAACATATTTTATTGTGGTTGCTAGGGTGTTTCTATGCAGTTGCTAAGGTAATACAGGTGGGTTTTAGCATTTTGCTGTCTGGTTGCAAGGGTGTTTCTATGCGTTTGCTAAGGACATATAGCTGGGTTTTAGCACGATGCCATTTGGTTGCTAAGGTGTTGCTATGCGGTTACTGCTGCAGGTCCAACATGTTGTTGTGCAGTTGCAAAGGTAATATAGGTAGGATTTAGCATGTTGCCATGCAGTGTCTAGGGTGTTGCTATGCAATTGCTGCAACGCGGTTGCTGTTGTGGTTTCAGCATGTTGCCATGCGGTTGCTAAGGTGTTGCTAAGGTAATAAAGGTAGGATTTAGCATGTTTCTATGCAGTTGCTAAGGTAATATTAACGACTGACAAAGGAAACAGCACTGCAGTGTCAGGAGAGAGATAACTCACTCAAAGATGAGCAGACAGCAGTGAGAACATGAGATGGAGATCAGACACTTACTGATCTTGTAGCCCAGCTTTTCGGCATGAACTCGTTTGGCCAAGAACTGTCCTTCAACCAGGGCTCGGATTTCCACCTCGCGGTCAAAGGCAGCTACCTGTGCAAGAGCGGACACAAAGACGGGCTTCAGGTAACCAGAGACCGTTCCTGCTCCCATAAAGCATTCTTTGAGTCTGACGCCAACATTCCCACAGATGAGCACTGAGCTGAACTCAACCGACTCCGCCAGCTGTCAATCACACTCAGGATGAGAACCGGGTTCGTGCTTTAACCAACTCATGCTGGAAAAATACAGATTCAGCTTACAACCAAAAACGTTTTACAGACAGAAAATGATTATCTAGTTCTTTAGAAAATCTGTGTTCTGGTGTTTAAAACAAAGCAGAAACCAAGAAGAACCTATAACACATCAAGAACTTTTCTGCACAACCATAAAATTCAAGAATCATTGATTTCCTGAACATGTCCGGGTCATAGTTTACCTCAAAATCACAGAAATAATAAATATATATTAGATTTATAGTTAATAAAATGTAAAAAAAATATTTTTCACAGAGACATTATTTTTATGACAATTAAACAAAACCCCCAAATTGTCATTACTGTAATAAATTAATTAATTAATACATGCTAACTTAATTTTTTTTTAATATCTGAGTCCTATTATAGGATATGTTAGGACGTCCACCAAAGATGCAGCATATCAATTTTCAACTTTATCGATCATACGGTTACAGAGCTGCAATGTTTTTTTAGTTGTAGCGCCCCCTATGGGTGGATTTTCGTTAAGCTTGAACAATGCATTCAGCAACTATAGTATAGGTCAAGTCCTAAAAACGAGTTAATTAACTTATAACTTTGCAATGCTTCAATTAATCAAAATTCCAACAGCCTAGGAGTTAAAAAAATGGAAAATAAATAATTTTATAGGCGGAAATAGAATCAGAGATGATTTGTACGACTTGACTCAAGGATTCTGAGGGAGAAAAAAATTTGTTTCTAAACCTTAGTTATGATCCAAAATGCAAATAGCCTTATTATAGCGCCACCTGGTGTCAGATGTGCGTCTGTGCGCCTGAGTATCAATGCACCTGCTCATTTTTTCCAGAATTTCCGAAGATTTTAAGGTGAAATGTGACCAGCATGTTTTCATGAAAAAAAAAATGTTCTGAGTAAAAACAGTGTAAATAGCACAGCAATAACAGAACCACAGTCGGAGCGACTGCTGGAGGGTTAATGAGCATCTTATTGCAGGTGAACTGAACTCTGACCCAATTAGCACAATTTAAGCAATTATCTGATCAGTGGCAATATTTGCAAACCTGTTCAGCCGAAGTAAATGAAGCTGAAAAGGGCAGATCAATCTGTAGCGAGTGTGTGTTGTTTACAGCACACACACTCGTGACTCACCCTTTGACCTTCAGCATTAAACCTGTGAACGCCGACAGCAGGAGGCGTAATCTCCATCACGTCGAAATACATGCCTGAAAACACACAGACGCATCAGGACAAGGACAAACGGCTCGGCTTCATCCGGCGGCAGTGATTAAACACCCACGAGAGACGGCGGGTCGTGAGAGAAGCATATGGACCCCACACCACTAATGTCTCTGAGAGGAGCACACAGTATCCCGGCACCGGCTGAAGCATACAGTATCATTCAGATGCTGTTCTTTCATTTATTTTTAAAAAGATATTTTACATATTATTTATATATATATATATACACACACACACACACACATATATATATATATATATATATATATACATTAAAAAAAATTATATATGACTTTCTGTTAATGTTACAATTTCTATTAAGGTTACAATTTAATGTTACTGGAATAATAATAATAATACACATTTTTTTTTTTAAATGAATACAAAAAAAACGTATTTCATTTCAGGTATCATTTATTGTATTTCGTCACAACGAAAATGTTCTTTATGGTTTCAGTAATTTTGTTGTTATTTTGCCATTTTTATTGATTTTTAAATATGTGTATATATTTTTTATTAATTTAATTTCAGTTTAAATTTGAGTTATTTTAGTACATTAAGTTAATCTAAATGACAATGATAAATATTGCTCTGGAAAATGAGCTGAAATAAAATAAAATATAAAAAAATGTGTTAACTTTTTTTTATTATGGTTTTAGTCTTTTTTTTTATGGCTTCTAGTCATTTTGTTGTAATTTTGAATTTTTTAAAAATCTGCATATAGTATATCCATTTTTATTTCAGTTGGAATTTTAGCTCTTTTAATACATAAAATTTAACAAAATGAAAATACGAATTTTTGCTTCGGAAACGAGCTGAAATAAAATAAGATGTATTTTATTTAATAATATTTTTGTTAATTCAAGTAACGAAAGTTTTTTTTTTTTTACCGTTTTAGTCAGCTACAATAACCCTGGTATCACCAATATTTAATCACCTAAATTTCCATTGTTTCCCATCGGCGTGGACCTCAAAGCGCTGGAGAAAAGTTCCCATGATCCTCCAGCACATTCATTACGAATCCTCTCTCGTGTGAAAGAGCCGTTTTTAAAGCTGTGAGAAACACAAGAGAAGAGTTTCAGGTGAAACACAAATAACCAGTGACTGTGTCCACATGTGTCCACATTTAACACTTCAAACTAAAACGTTCTGCCTTTGAGCGGTGTGAGTACGGCTCTTTTCCTCTTCTGACAGACTGACGTGAATGAGGTCAATCTTCATTACATCTAAAGATAGAAGAAGAAACGCAGCACTTACACGAGCTGATTCCTTTCAACTCAGGAAACAATTTCACATCCTCAGGAAAAAGCACATAACTCAAATCTCTTTTTATACATTCAGGCTTTAAGGGTAAAGCTCCACATCTCTCACGCAAAGAAAAACACTCAAACGTCAAATAAAAAACTGCTACAAGGTCAGTGGAGAGCTGCAGAGAACAGTATTTACATTTATTCCTCTCGCGCTGAAGTGAAGGAAGTGTTCGGCTGCACACGAGGACTGAGACTCAAGAGTTGAGGAGGTTATTCCTCAAGCACACTGCATTATCATCAGCTCTCCTGGCACTTATAGACCAGATCACACACACGAGTGCACTACACATTAAACACACACAAAGAATCATACAAACTCACAAATCTCACTGTGAAATGTCATATTTCACCCCAAAATCTAGACAGAAAAAAATAGGGATGCACCGTTATGAATATTATGGCCGATAACGATTACCGATAATTCTTTACATTTAAAAGCCGATAACCGATAAATTGGCTGATAAATCCGAATCCAAATTTTTTAATAATTTTTGAGAGCCTGATTACAAAAACAAAAGTCTCACCATTAAAGCCGTGTCCTAATCACACAATTTTAATGTTCTGATTATAATTTTATGTAGCCGATATGACAGACTTGCGCTGAACTGTATTTTCCTTTTCAAAGTGATTCCAATCATATTTCAAGCAATTCAAAACCATCATGTTGAACATCTGAAGCGTCTCAGCTGAAGGGAATAATACATCGTTTATCGGCTTTAATATATATCGGGCAAATTTTCTTATCGGGCCGATACCGATAACATTATAAATGCTCATATATCGGCCGATACCGATATGGGGGCTGATATATCGTGCATCCCTAGGAAAAAACTGTATTATAATTGTGTTATTTTGTCAGTCTGACGGAAACATACCGCGGTTTACATCAGGCGTGTGTGTGTGTTTTACCATATCAGAGCCATGTACGCGCTGCAGTCCACCGGGTTACAGAAGATGTGGCCCTCGACTGTGGGTTTGGGATCCGGGATCCACAGGAAAAGCGTGTCGCTGGTGCCCAAACTGACCTGTAGAGAATCACAACATCACAACTCGAACACACACAGAGTCTGAGAGCGCTTTACTAACGCTCCCATAGAGAGCCTAAGCCCCTCCCCTTCCGGTCGACCACCATGGGACCTTATTTCGGAAAAATATTGTATGGTAGTCAATGGCGAGAGACAACAAATATTTTGATCTCGTTTGAATTGTGCCCTGAATCACACATATGATGTTTGTCAATTTAAAAGATACATTTTAAAGCAGGGGTCTCAAACTCGCGGCCCGCGGCCCATTTGCGGCCCGCGGGGTGATATTTTGTGGCCCCCTACTTGACATTAAAGTTTAATGTTAGTGCGGCCCGTCGTTGCGTGTGCCGCAAAAAAAAAAAACAAAAAAAAAATTTTATCCCTTATGAGCTACCATAGATAGTCTCGTGACAGCTTACGGAGGGTTTGTTGTCAATAGTTGTCATAGACAACCGCGCAGTACAAACATACTGCGCCTGGAAAAAATGAGCGCGTCGCTTCAATTATGAGCGCGCTTGCCGCGCAGGCCTACATTTGAAATTACGAACTTGAGCGCGCAAAATATGTGAGCGCGATATGTGAACGGCCCCTTGGCGAGCTACCACCAATCAGGCCACGAGCTACTGGTAGCTCGCGAGCGACGTGTTGGAGAGAGACCCTGCTCTAAAACAATGTGAGAATAATCACTTTGAGCTTGTAATATGTGTCTAACAGGTTCATAAGAAGGTTTGCTTTGATTTGTGCAGTCAGTAATTTGAGACACTATACAAAGAATTCAACAAGACGGGCAGACATGACTGCAAATATTTGTATTTCAAAAGCAATAATTGTTTTTCTAAGTATAATAAAAGGAAATGTGCCTTCCAAAAAAAACATTCAATATCATTAATGTGTTGTATAAAGAAAATAAAAAGGACATAAGCAAATATAAATATCACAAATATGTGTTATAGACAAAGAAAGTTTGTAAAATGAACTTCAACTGTCAGAAGGACAGCTCATGAAGAACCAATCATGTACAGAAAGGAATGTTCAAATTCAGAGGAACTGTTCAGAAGAAACGTTAATAAATATTGAGAAGATTGGATCAGTTGTGCTCCTTTTTTGGAATACTTGAATACTATTTTTTTGTGGAATACTTGATGCGGCCCAGCCTGACCCAGACTCTACCTCTAGCGGCCCCCAGTTAATTTGAGTTTGAGACCCCTGTTTTAAAGTCAAGAAAGTCGCAGTTTGATGTAAAACTGTTGAGGTGTAAGACTGTGAAAATACGTAATTACAAAGACTACAAACCCCAGAGGCGCACATTTTCTCTCAATGAATGAAGCTAACTTTGACGCTAACTTTACTGACGCTAACTTTACTGAAGCTAACTTTACTGAAGCTAGCTAACTTTACTGAAGCTAGCTAACTTTACTGAAGCTAACTTTACTGAAGCTAACTTTACTCTGAAGCTAACTTTACTGATGCTAACTTTACTCTGAAGCTAACTTTACTGATGCTAACTTTACTGATGCTAACTTTACTGAAGCTAACTTTACTGAAGCTAGCTAACTTTACTGAAGCTAACTTTACTGAAGCTAACTTTACTCTGAAGCTAACTTTACTGATGCTAACTTTACTCTGAAGCTAACTTTACTGATGCTAACTTTACTGATGCTAACTTTACTGAAGCTAACTTTACTGAAGCTAACTTTACTGAAGCTAGCTAACTTTACTGAAGCTAGCTAACTTTACTGATGCTAGCTAACTTTACTGAAGCTAGCTAACTTTACTGAAGCTAACTTTACTGAAGCTAACTTCACTGAAGCTAACTTTACTGAAGCTAACTTTACTCTGAAGCTAACTTTACTCTGAAGCTAACTTTACTCTGAAGCTAACTTTACTGATGCTAACTTTACTGATCCTAACTTTACTCTGAAGCTAACTTTGCTGATGCTAACTTTACTGATGCTAACTTTACTGAAGCTAACTTTACTGAAGCTAACTTTACTGAAGCTAACTTTACTGAAGCTAACGTCTGTCATTGTTTCTATAGTCTTACGTTATAATCGTAACGTTACGCCGTCATGCCCGTCAGCAGCGTCTTACGTCAGCGGCGGCACTGAACGCGGATCCACAACAGAACCGGAAGACACACACACACACACACACACACACACACACACACACACACACACACACACACACACACCAGACACACGTCAGCAGCGTCTTACGTCAGCAGCGGCACTGAACGCGGATCCACAACAGAACCGGAAGACAATACAATGCTGAATAAAGTCCTAGTTTTTGTTATTTTTGGACCAAAATGTATTTTCCATGCTTCAACACACTCTAACTAACCCACTGATGTCACATGGACTACTTTGATGATCTCTTTATCTCCTTTCTGGACAAGGACAGTATACCGTACACACATTTACAATGGAGGGACAGAAAGCTCTCGGACTAAATCTAAAATATCTTAAACTGTGTCCTGAAGATGAACGGAGGTCTGACGGGCTTGGAGCGACATGAGGGAGAGGCATTAATGACATCATTTTCATTTTTGGGTGAACTAACCCTTTAATAATGTTGAGTATTTCATATGTTTATTAGTAAAACACTCACCGCTAGATCTCCCTCTTGAAGCCTCATACCAGCCAGAGACCCTGCAACGACACAAGACATTTCTCATCCTTAAATCGAACGTCTTCCCTAATCCTGCACGTGTGGTGTCTGAACACAGACGTCCTCAAGTGGATGAAGACGTCTGACACTGGGGTTCTGCTAACACAGGCTCTCATGCTTTAGTCTGGAGCGCAGAGAGAGGAAGAGGAGAACACTTCAGATTTAATCACAGGTGGTCAGCGTTATTCTTGGCGGCCTTGCAGAAACCAAACGTTCAATAAATCACCAGAAACGTCACGCTAACAGGAGCTTCAGCGCCGAGAAAAATGATCCCGGATTCGAATTTCAATACAACAGGAAAAAACAAGGCGAAAAAAACCATTTCAGCACTTTCTAGAAAAATGAAACTTATGCTGTCAATGCGCATTAACTTTACATCACATGAAATGCATCTGTTTGATAAACGATCTCCTCGTCCATCTGCGGTCCAGTGCTATTTTAGTATTATTGATATGTTATTATAGTATTTATTCAGATTTTATTTTTTATACTTACAGTTTTTTAATCTTAATTTTAGTTTGTGTAACTAGTAATTTTGTTATGTGCTAATAATTAATTAAAAAAATCAAAATGTCAAATTAAAATAAATAATGTTAAAATAAAAGCAATCAAAATAAAAGATGAGCTATTTTATTTGTCTCCGTGCGGGTGCCCATTAACCAGCGTCAGAGACCCGTGAACATGCAAATGTGCTGTTCAGTTATTGAAATATTAAATTAAAATCTCAGGGGGACTCCTAGAAAATATTTGAGCTCAAAGGGGTTCGGCTGACAAAAACCGTTTGGGAAAAATTAATTAAGATTAATTCACCTCAGCGGTCGTTCTAGGCCTTTTAGTGCGGAGTATAAATTACACGAAATTATCATGAAGACACATATATTTGTAAATCAACCAAATGACAAGTTATACTTCTAAATAGAATTTATATTCATTTAAAAAATATTCACATATTTAATATGAATATATATTATTCATTATATATATATATATATATATATACATATATATATAAAATGTATATATATTATATACATTATATAGTATATACTGTATATACACATTTATATACACACACACACAAACACAGTATATAGTAAAAATATATAAATTAATATAAATTATATTAGTAACATAAATAGTTACTTTAATAGTTATAAAAAAATAATATATATATACTGTATAAATATATATATATATAAATTGAATTTTTATTCTATATATACTTATATTAATTAATATTAATGTATATATTATACTATTATATTATATATATACATATAAGTGTGTGTGTGTATATATATATATAAATATTTATTAGTGTATATATATATATATATAAATGTATTATTAGTTATTAGTGAGTGTGTGTGTGTGTGTGTGAGAGAGAGAGAGAGAGAGAGAGAGAGAGAGAGAGAGTGTGTGTGTGTGTGAGAGTGAGTGAGTGAGTGAGTGAGTGAGTGAGTGAGTGAGTGAGTGAGTGAGTGAGTGAGTGTGTGAGTGAGTGTGAGTGAGTGAGTGAGTGAGTGAGTGAGTGAGTGAGTGAGTGTGAGTGTGAGTGAGTGAGTGAGTGAGTGAGTGAGTGAGTGAGTGAGTGAGTGTGTGAGTGTGTGAGTGAGTGAGTGAGTGTGTGAGTGAGTGTGTGTGTGTGTGTGTGTGTGTGTGAGTGAGTGTGTGTTTCCTGGAGTGGCTGCACTGGAGAGATGTATTGTGTGTGTGTGTGTGTGTGTGTGTGTGAGTGAGTGAGTGAGTGAGTGTGTGTTTCCTGGAGTGGCTGCACTGGAGAGATGTATTGTGTGTGTGTGTGTGTGTGTGTGTGTGTGTGTGTGAGAGAGAGAGTGTGTGAGTGTGTGAGAGTGTGTGTGTGAGAGTGTGTGAGTGTGTGTGTGTGTGTGTGTGTTTCCTGGAGTGGCTGCACTGGAGAGATGTATTGTGTGTGTGTGTGTGTGTGTGTGTGTGTGTGTGTGTGTGTGTGTGTGTGTGTGTGTGTGTGTGTGTGTGTGTGTGAGTGTGTGTTTCCTGGAGTGGCTGCACTGGAGAGATGTATTGTGTGTTGTTGCTGCCCTCTACAGTCAGGACGATCTCATCATGTTTTGACGCTGATCTGTAACTCGCTGAAACACAGTGAGTGAGTGTGTGAGTGAGTGAGTGAGTGAGTGTGTGTGTGAGTGTGTGAGTGAGTGTGTGAGTGAGTGAGTGTGTGAGTGAGTGAGTGTGTGAGTGAGTGTGTGAGTGAGTGTGTGAGTGAGTGTGTGAGTGAGTGAGTGAGTGAGTGAGTGTGTGAGTGAGTGAGTGAGTGAGTGAGTGAGTGAGTGTGTGTGTGAGTGTGTGAGTGAGTGTGTGAGTGAGTGAGTGTGTGAGTGAGTGTGTGAGTGAGTGAGTGTGTGAGTGAGTGTGTGAGTGAGTGAGTGAGTGAGTGAGTGAGTGAGTGTGTGAGTGTGTGAGTGAGTGTGTGAGTGTGTGAGTGAGTGTGTGAGTGAGTGTGTGAGTGAGTGTGTGAGTGAGTGAGTGAGTGAGTGAGTGAGTGAGTGTGTGAGTGAGTGTGTGAGTGAGTGTGTGAGTGTGTGAGTGAGTGTGTGAGTGAGTGAGTGTGTGAGTGAGTGAGTGAGTGTGTGAGTGAGTGTGTGAGTGAGTGTGTGAGTGAGTGAGTGAGTGAGTGTGTGAGTGAGTGAGTGTGTGAGTGAGTGAGTGAGTGTGTGAGTGAGTGAGTGAGTGAGTGTGTGAGTGAGTGAGTGAGTGTGTGAGTGAGTGAGTGTGTGAGTGAGTGAGTGAGTGAGTGTGTGAGTGAGTGAGTGTGTGAGTGTGTGAGTGAGTGAGTGAGTGAGTGAGTGAGTGAGTGAGTGAGT